TGATACTTGTTATAGAAATAAATAAAATTGATCATTCCATTTTTTTTTTTCTTTTATTCCATTTTCTTTAAACTCCATAAGAAAAGAATGCTGATAAAGAATAACACATGTTATCTTTTTGATAAAGGAAATAATTATCCCTTATGAAACGTTTTATTTTTAGAACCTACAATTTCGAATGGGTGATTTGTGCAAAGCACTCTTTGTTCTGTCCATTTAGCAGCAAGCTGTTGTTATATACTATGCATCTGTCTCCTCTTTCCCCCTCATTACTGTGTCATTTGGGGCAATAGAAGAAAACGGGCGCATGATTACGGGATCGTTCTTCTTGATTTCCCCTTTTGATGATGAAACCATTAGTCTGTGTGTTACGGCTCTCTACTACTACCCATGAGTAAAATGAAATGATCCCCTGCGATGCTCTGTACTCCCCTTAAAAGAAATAGTGATGGAAATTAGATTAGCATGTGTCGTATTAACAGAAAAAAATGAGTAAAATAACTCCTTAAAAAAAACGCACTGAATTCTAGTAACACAAGGTGTTCTTTTATAGGACTCTTTTTTTTTTTTTTTTAAATGCACTTGTTTACCCTTCTGTCCAAGCCTATCTATGAGTAGTCACCATTCTTACCTTAGATATTAAATTAACGAACAGCACTTAGAGCTGTTACCACGTACGTACTCCACGGGCACAATTGCAACTCATTTTTAAGTATTTTTTACTTTGCCTATAGAAACGAACCACTATCTTTTGAATTACAGTTGGTATATCCTAATATAAAATACACCATTTATGGAACGGAAAATAGATATACATACGTATAGCCACATGGATCAGAAAAAAATGATAAAATGTGAAGTACTTTCCCTCACCTTTTTAAAAATCACCTCTCATAAAAATAATGTATATGCAAAATAGGGAAATTGCTAAAGAGTGCAAATGCGCTCTTCATTTAATTTTTAGATTTTATTTTAGCTGACCTAACCATGTCTTAGAATTTAAATATTTTTTCCCCCTTCGCCAGTGCATCGTTAATACACCTTATGTGTGAGCAAGTGGACTATGAAAAAGCGTAGACTCAAAGTGCTTCTATATATAATCCGCCTTACGAATTAGTCTATAAACTGTTCGAATTCTCTGTTCATCTCACAAGTACCTCTTAACTTGAGTAACGACAACTCATCAGCAAAATACGCAGGTACCTATTACCATTTCTGCCTCTAAGAGGGTAGCGATATGTATGTTAAGTTCCGCTATCCACATGGATACCCATTCTTAGGAGAAAACTAAACTGCGCAGGATGAACGTTGAAACACTGGTACCCGGCGATTTTAGTTTCTTTCTCTCAGTCAGAAAGGCATATACGTATATTTGTGCCTGTCCATGTACCGCCCTAATCAGTGGTGAGAAAAATGCTACATCGTTGCAAAATTTCATTGGGAATACCTTCCAGTTTTATTTCATTGTGCATTGTAATTCAATTTTTTTTCTATCCCTCCGCTTTTACGCCAATCCATTTTTTAATATTGAAAAAAAATTTCACAATGGCCATGCAGTGGCGAATTATTCCAACATTATGTGAGTACCCATCAAATCGCTTTTAGGCAGACAAAAAAATTTTCACAAAAAATGGAAAAAAAATATAATAACACATCACTTTATTTCCTTCGAATCAGTTAAATGTGCGACTAATAAAAAAGTAGATATGCAGAATTATGTCACTTTGTTTGTAAGCAAAACTGGGTAAACGTTATTTGTAAAAATTCTTCCATCCCTCGTTCGCCTTCATTTTCGTACATGCATTTACATACAAGTACGCTACATAATTAGTGAAAAGGTATGGCGGACACAAAATATTGTTTATCGAAATTGCTGAGTTAACATCCCATACATATTAACAAAACAATCATAACAAGGAAAAACAGAAGGATAAGTCCCGTACGGCATGTCCATGTTGCTTCTTTGAGCAGCCAAACTAGGTGCCGTTTTAACAAAACATACATATAGGTGAATTCACTAGATCTGTAAATTTTTACTTTAAAATGCCCATTTTCTCTTGTTTCATCGTTCCGCTGACCCTCCCTTCCGAATACTGCGCCCCCGGACATATTTTTTCTCTAGACTTCCTAAGAAACAGAATTAAATAGCAAAACAAATAGCAAAACAAATAGCAAAATATATAGCAAAATAAATAACAGAATAA